AGAGTACCCAGATCCCCCCAGTCATAGTACAGATGGGAACCAGGTGCCCAGGAAGAGAAGTGGCTCTCCTGGGTTGTGAATAAGTGTGCTGTTGGGAGAATCTTGACAGCCGTGCTCAAATGGGTCACTGATCCTCAAGTTCACGACTCCTGGTACCCATGAATATGACTGCATTTCTAAGAAGACTTTTTCTGGGTATAGTTAGTTTAAGTCATATGGGACTAGGTTAACCCTAAATCCACTTCCTGTCCTCATCACAGGAAGGCAATGGGAAGACATCGATACACAGAGGGTAAACACCAAGCGAGGCCAAGGAATGGTGGTACCAACAGAAGCTGCAAGAACCAAGGAAGGAGTCTTCCCTAGAGCCTTCAGAGGGAACCTGGCCCTACTCACTTGATTTCAGACTTCTGGCTTCCAGAAGGGTGAAAGAATGCATTTGTGGTTTTGTTGTTGTTGTTGGACACAGCGTTTCACATAGCCTAGACTGGCCCCAAAGTAGCTATTTAGCTGAGGATGACCTCGAACTTTGGTCTTCCACCTCCATTGTTCAAGTGTTGGGATTATAGGCACGTACCACCATGCCTGGTCTTTGTGGTGCTGGGCAATGAACTCAGTCCTTCATGAACTAACTCCAAAACCAAGCTTTATCCCCAGCCCAGTTTCTGTTGTTCTAAACTGCCCAGTTTGTGGTGCTTTGTCATTGTGCCCTGGGAAGCAATGAGCAGGCAGGAGTAGTGTGGTGACACTGGGACCTTCCTGGGCCCCTTGTGAAGCCTGAGCTGAGCTCCCTCCCCTAAGCTGCCTTTCAGATCCTCACAGCAACTGAGGAAGTGCGGTTTCTTCCTAGTTGTGATTCTGAGTATCAATAAAGACACATGGGAGGAAACCACGAAGCCACTAGCAATGCCCCACAGTGAAGTCTCCTCTCTCCCTCACTACCCAGCCTTCTCCTCTGGGGTAGCCCTGGGAACTGGGTTCTGCTAGAGCCTTGCATAGGTACGCAAGCCACAGTGTCTGCCTGCCCAGCCTATACACCTGCCTAAGCACAGATTTACTAGGCCAGATGCTGTCTGCTTTGCCTCACTTCCCAATGTAGCTTGAGCTTCTGGCCTTATTGGCAACACAGAACTCAGACTGCATCCTGACTTCTTGGAAGTCCACTCACTGGGACCGAACACTGTCCTCTGTTTACAGTGGTGCTTCACTGGCCATCTCTCTTCCTGTTCTCCACAAGGTGATTCCAGCTTACCTTACTTTCTTCCGCTCTCCCCAGCTCTCCCCTTGCTCCCTCCCTTCCTCAGCATTCTAGCGTTAGCAAGTTGCAGCACCTTTGTGCAGAGGCTCCAGCCAGCTGCCCGAGGTCACCACAGACCCAGTGCATCTGAAGACTGTGGCTCAGCCCTGTCTACTTCTCCCTAACTCCCTGCCTGTCTGCCTTCACCTCTGACCTGGTTCCTTCCCTGACACCCTAACCTCAATTCAATCCCCATGCATTCTCCAGCCAGCAGCCAGCATGGTCACTGGACACTTTGGTGACTGCCTGCTCCCTTTAGTCAAGCCCAGTGTCCTTTCCTAACTTCTAGAATCACTGCCCATCTCTCTGCCTCACCCCACGCCAACTGCTTATTCCCCCAGGCTCTCTGGTCTTCGGAGTTCTTTTGAAGGAACCAGGAACTTTCTGCTGTGGAATATTCCTGTACACTCCATAAATTATGTTCTGACTGGTTTAATAAAGAAGCTGACTGACCAGTAGCCAGGCACGATAAGGTTAGGTGGAAAAGCCAAACTGAGAATGATGGGGAGAAGAAGGGCGGAGTCAGGGGAGATGCCAGTCAGCCACCAGAGGAACACAGGTAAAGTCACGAGACAAGTGGCAAAACATGGATGAACAGAAATGGGTTAATTGAAAAGTAAAAGCTAGTTAGTAATAAGCCTGAGCTGTTCAGCCAATAATTTTTTAATTAATATTAAGCCTCTAAGTGATTGTTTAGAAGCAGCTTGGGGATGGAGCGGGACAGAGAAACCTCCGTTTACGCTTTATGGTCCCAGGGCCTTTGCATATGGGCTCCCTCTTCCTACTCCATTGGGTAGCTTCTTTTCCTTCAAGGTCCCAGGAGGCTTGACTCCCCCGTTGTTTTCTGCCTCTACTCATGGCTTGCCTCTTTTACATTATGGCTCCAATATGACTGTTTCTGACACGTGATCTCTATGATAGACCATGTTACTGACAACACCTGACTCAGGACAGACTTTTCACTAGACTGTGCTCGGTGACTAAGCAAATGACAAACGCCCATTCCAGAGACCCAGCTTTAATGAGAGAAGCCCGGTGAGAGGTGAACAAATTGTCACGGTGTTCTGTTACTTTTCTTGTGACTGTGACCAAATGCCTGACAAGCAACTTAGTTGGGGGAAGGTTTATTTTGGCTCACTGTTGGAGAGGGTGTGGGTTTAGGGGTGGACAGACTTTGGCAGCAGATGTGGAAGGTGGCTGCTTACATCCCATTGGCAGTCAGGAAGCTCAGCCCTTCCTTGGAAGAAAGCAGGACTGGCATTGCCACAAGGCCCACCACTCAAGAACCTACTGTCTTCAGCCAAGCCCTCCAGGTCCCTAAAGGCTCTGCAATTTACCAAAATAGTAACACAGATGGGAGCAAGTGTTCAAACATGCGGATTTCTAGGGGACAGCTCACATTCAAACCATAAAACATTCACTCATGTCTTCCCTACCTACAGTGAAGACATAGGACCCACAGTCATCAAGACAGTGGGAATCCCACCTCTCCAAAGGCCTGATCTCCTGGGGAGGCAGCTCAGAATCGTATCAGGACTATCAAGAAGTGGGGTGTTGCTCTTACAGTGTTCTCTGTCTGCTTTAAGTCCCGCTGTCTCTGCTCTCAACAAGAGATCTTTTCAGATTGTTGGTGAAATCTTAGTCTCACAGAAATCTAGACTAATAAATATTCTCTGCCCCCCTCCCCCAACTCACTGAAAAGTCAGCCTTTGCTAAGCACTTGATCAACCTTCCCTGAAGGAAGGAGCAGGGACAGGAACCTGGGGCTTCAGTCCAGAGTCAGCCTTGGGAAGGGAGACCTGGCCCTTGTTCAGCCCCAGAAAGGAAGTGCACAGGGCCCTGGAAGCGCGACACTTAGCTTCATCTTCTGCACTGCTTGTTTAGAGTTCCATAAGCAGTGTCTCCTCAAGGAGTGAAACATAGCCGCTCCTCTAGCTTCTCGGTTTCTTTTTAAAGTTCTTTCTGAAATACAAAACACACAGAGAAGCTTCACCCTTTGTACATGACGTGGTTGAGATGATTATTTGCAAATATTTACCGCCCGCCCGACTCCACTCGTGCTGGATATAGACTGGGGGTTTGCTTTTGCTAACAGAGTGTGGGAAGCTGTCGAGCAGAGTTCCAAGTAGAGACCCAAGGAGACCTGGTGCTTCCTTTGACCTTTCTTCATCTTATCTCAGATGGATGTCAGTTAGAGGAGGAGGAGTACGTGGGACAGCCATGCCTGCAACCCTCAGACAAGCTTGACCCAGAGCAGCTGACTCCTAAACCCACAAGCCAGTCAGCAAGAAACATGTGCTATGGCAGCAGCTAACGTCTTCATAATTTCTCATATATTCTATATGCGTCTGTAGGCAGTATAGATCAGATAGAACATCTCCAGAACCCTTGGATCCGAATTCCCTGTCTCCTATTGGTTACTGAACCCCTTCCTAGGGAGCCACTAGCCTGACTTCTCATCTGGGACCTATGATGGATAATTTTTGTCAACTTGATACAAACCACATTCATCCAGGGAAGAGGGAGCCTCCATTGGAATTGCCTCCGTCAGATTGGCCTTTGGGCATGTCTATAGGGCATCTTCTTGATTAGTGATGACTACGAGAGGACCCATCATATTGTGGGAAGCCCCCCTCCCCCCCGCAAGGGTCCTGGGCTGAATGAGAAAGTAAGCTGATCAGGCAGTGGACTCTCCCAAGGTTCCTGCCTCCAGTTTCCTGCTTTGAGGTCTTTTCCTGAATTCCCTTTCCTCAATGATGAACTGTAACTTGCAACCTGAGATAAACTCCTTTTCTCTGCAGCTTACTTCTAGTCAACAGTGTTTATCACAGCAACAATCAGCAAGCTAGATTTTTAACTTTAAAAGAAAGTAAATGTACAAAAACAATCCTCAATTAGGTCTGCATTCTTTAGCTCAATATCCCCGTTATAAGATTTCCTCAAGGGTGCAGTTTAGTTCACTCATTCCATTCTATTGTTGAGTTGTTCTTATTTTCAGGTATGATAAGTAGTATTGCCATTAAGTCTCATGCAAGAGTATGTACTTTGAATAACATATTGACACACTCTGTTTGCTCTATTCTAGGAGGAAAATTGTAGAAAGATAAATGTCGATGGCATTTGTTGGCTGCACTCCACAGTGAGGCAGGGGCATATCCAGCTTGAGTAACTGCTACCAAACAGCTTTCCTAAGTTCTTCTGCCAGTCCACACTCCTAGCAGCTTTGAGCACTCTCACTGGTCAATATCTTTGCCAGTACTTGGTGCTTCCCACCTTTTTAAATTTAGTCATCTGATGGGTGTGTACCAAAGTCACATTATGGTTTTTGAGTTTCCCAGATGACTAATCGCCTTAAACAAGTTCCCACGTATTTATGGGCACACGTGTATATGTGTGCTCAAGCCTTTTGCTTATTTTTCTATTGGATTGCCTATCTTTTTCTTATTGGTTTGTAGATGTTCTGTATATATTATTGAAATGATCTCTACTACAAGTCTTACAGAAATCTTTCATTGTGTGTTCTCAACTATATTTTTTGTTGAATAGAAGTCCATCATTTTAAAATATAGTTCTATTTCATTTCAGAGTACAGTTCAATTTATAAATTTTTTAATCTTTTATAGTTATAGACCTTTTTTCCTGCCTAGGAATGTCTGTCTACTCGGAGGTTATGAAGATGCTCTCTTGTGTTTTGTTCTAGAATCTTTATTGGTCAACTGAAATTAACATATGATATGGTATGAGGTAGGAGGTTACAATACTCCCCACTCCTCTGTATAAATATCTAGTTGACCCAGAGCTATTTAATTAAGAAGGCCACCATTTCCCCCACTGCACTGTAGTGTGATTGTTTTGCCTTTGAAAACTGATGAACAATGTTTGGTGAGCATGGTCTCAAACCAAAGGTACCAGGTTCACATCCTAGATTCAGGCGAGAGTTAATTCCTATCTGAGTCTCGGCTTTCTCACCTGTGTCCAAGAGAAATAAACTTTTCACCTCTGCCTGGAAGGCATCAAAGGGGAAAGAACATCCAAAGCATTTAGCGCCAGGCAGTGGCTGTGCTCTGTCACCTCTGTTGTTGTCATTGTCACAACCTCTGCCTTCAGGACCAGAGCTTAATTCAAGTGGTTAATTCTGATCCAGGAAACAAATTTTCTGTCTGTGCTCAGTTCTATTTCCAAGTCTCTGCAACCCCTAATGCAGACCAGCTGGCCACTCCTGGTGAGTCCTTGTTCCTCTCTGTGTCCCTGTCCCATCCTCAGGCACCATCCCTCTGGGCCCCTGAGTATTGCCAACCCTTGTCCTCCTGAGCATTACATAACCCTGTGTATTTGCTGCTTGTCCCAGCTCACGGCTGTCCTTTGAAGGCAGAGGCCAGCTTCCTACGGAGCAGGCATCACCCAGCATAGTGTTCTGGTTTGTTTGTGACACCCAGCCAGCTGTTGGACTGTCCAGTGGGGAATCAGAGGATGCTTCTCTGTAAGACAACATCCTGTCTTTGTGCAGCTGCTTTGTGGAGGGACAGCCATGGGAGAAACCTACTGGCTAACATCTTTGGCAGTGAAATTTGAACCCAAAGCAAAGCCTAGATAAAATAAACACCAGACATTTTGCATTCAACCTGGTTACAGTTATGTGACCTTGATTATTAACATTGTTATTTTGGCACCTCTCCTAGGGAAGGAGAGTTCACAGTCCTGCTGATGCTGGAGTGACTAGATTGGAAATAAGGTCCCCTGGGGTTGGGCTTCTATCTATGGAAATGTCAATGGTTTATTCACATTTAAAGAGGGCTGCAAAGGTCACCATTTGTGATTTTCAAAGTCACAAAAGCTAAGTGTTTTTCAGGGAACCTGTAACTAAAATGCTTGAATCTTTTCCAACCTGCTTGTGATTGTCAAGGCTGGTACCTGGGCCTTATTTGTTTAGTCTGCACACACCCATACAGTAACATATTGTGTCTGGCCCTATGCTAGCTTTGGGGGCGGGTGCTCAAAAAGACAAATGTTCTGCCTTTTGAAGCTGTTTCACTTACACACACAAACACACACACACACACACACACACACACACACACACACACACACAGGGAGGGAGAGACAGAGAGAGACAGACAGAGAAATGTACAGTATTTTGTTTCGTGTTTGAAGTATGTCTGTGCACATGACAGGGTGGTGATGCTTGAAAATGAGTGTGCACATACATGTGAGGACCAGAGGTCGATGTCCTGTGTCTTCCTCAAGCAGGATCTCCTGAACCTGCAACTCACTGGCTTGACCAGACTGGCTAGCCAGCAAGCCCAAGGGATCCTGTCTTTCTCCCCAGTACTGGCTCTCAGGCAAGCACCACCACGTCATAACATTCACACTGGAGCTGGGGACCTGATCTCGGGTCCTCACGATTGCACAGCAAGCCCCTTGCTGACTGAGTAACTTCCACAGCCCAACAAATATAAGATAGGTAGATATTTCCAGATCAAAAGCCTGTCTTGTTTTTCAACATCTTGTGTTGTGCTTGTGTTTCTATTCTTTCTGATCAAGGCACTTGCCTTGGCCTCTGGCCTTGGGAGCTGTTCTCCCTAGTGAGGACTGTACCCCAGGTCCCTGCTGAGTAGGTGTGTTGGGTTTGGTTTGATAATTGATGTTTCCTACTTTGATTCCCTCCAGGGGATGTCCCTTTAGTCCTGGCACTTCTTTTAAATGAAATCAAGTATAAGCTGTTTTCCAAAGTCTTCTTGCCCAGTTGAGTTGAAATCTGTGGTAAGCTGGGAACACCTTCTCCAACTGACCTTGGAGAGGTTTAGAAGTCGAATCTCTTTCAAAAGAGCAAGCATTTACTGGGAACTTTTAATCAGATGCCAAAGCCCCTTCATTCTGCTTCCTGAATTTCAAAAGGATTATGCATGTATTTCAAATTGTCAAGGTTTTTGTGCCCTGAGTCGGCTGCCAGCCTATGACATTAAACCCTTTGCCGGTGCCTAAGATAGATTTATATCAAATCACATCATATCTTTTTGTCACTACTCTTCATGCCAGTGGTTTCAAGCTTTCTTGAATGATAAATATTTTCCACTGGTTAAAAAAATGTTTAGCATCTCTTTCCCAGAATGGTCTATTTCTTGTTTGTCATAGAGAAAGTAAATAAGAAAACTGACATTCTCAGAAAGCTATTAATATGTCAAGGTGGGACTTACTGATCGCAGCAGGACACAGCCAGGGCCCATCTCCCCACACCCTCAATAAGGCAAGCCCAGCAATTTCAAAGTTCACTGAATTCAGAAAATTCATAAACGTTAAAAAGGTTTTTTACTCTCTTCTCTGCTTCCTGTGAGGGAGGGCATAGGAGACATTTAGCCTCTTCCAAGCCAAGGAGAGAGTCCATAAGAGAACCATTGAAAACACTGGGGAGCTTTGTGAAAAGTGGATCACAGAACCACTCCTTACCCTGATGCTGGCCTGGCCACTGGAGGATGAATGGTATGTTGGGAGAGAAGTTTCTTGAGAAAAGTAACAGCATCCCGAGGTGTTGGGGAATAGGTAACACGATGATTGGAAACTATTACAGATTCAGATATCCATGGCAGGCAGGGAGGCTGGCTGCTTTCTGTGATGCAAGATGACAAGAGATCAAAGGTTGGAGCAACGTGCACTGATTCAGGCTAGCTGGGCAAGAGTGCCTGAATCCCCCACAGGTCAAAAGAATCATTTAGAGGACTGTCAGGTCCATTTCGAGGGACATCTCTCAAAGGGCAGCTGTGTTAGCTAGTCTGTTTGCCAATTGCTATCACAAGAGACCTGAAGCATGAAGTCAAATAGTCTGACATTGGCTTTGCAAAGGGCTGCCTGGATGTGTCACATCATGGCAGATGGCAATGTGGTGGAGCCCATGCAAGAGAGAGACGGAGAGACAGAAAAACAGAGTCAAGGACAGACATACACACACACACACACACACACACACACACACACACACACACGGGGAGGGAGAGACAGAGAGAGATGGAGACAGACACAGAGACAGAAAGATAGAGACAGACAGACAGAGAAACAAAGAAAGGGACAGACAGACACACAGAGATCATATGATGAGTCAAGAAGCTAGAGAAAGACTCAGTAGTCAGGCATGTTTTCTTATAACAACCTTCTCTGGTGGGAACTGACTAAACCCCACCCACAAGAACTATGTTAATCTCTTCTGCGGGTGCTGCCCTCAATTATTCAATGGCCTTGCACATATCCCACCTCCCAAACACCCACTTTTTGTCCATATCATCACACTGAGGACCAAGCTCCCAACTCAAACCATATCCAAACCATGACAGCAGCTTATAAAGCCAGTAAGACTGATATAAAATAAAATAAAATAAAATAGGTTTCAGGAGGGGGGCTTGTCCAAAGACATTCTCCTAGCACACTGCTGTTTCTGGGCCGTGAGAAGCATGTGGGTCTCCACAGAGGCGGGGAGATGGAGGCTATCCCCACCAATACACAAATGTGACCCATGAACCAGATAGGACTGATGGTTGCCAAACTCAACAGAAGGCATGACAGCCAGAGGAAACACAATAAACCATTATGCAAGACAGCCTGGCTTCTGTCCGTGGCCCTTTCCCTGCCCCCAACCAGGGGAGCTACAGTAGGAGGGAGTGCAGGCATGGGAATCAGGTGGATGGACAGACAAATAGCCAAGACTTATGTTCCTCTTCCCCAGTGAAGATGCTCATCGTAGCCAGGCCTAAGAAGAAATATGAGTATTGAACGGGATTTGAAGTTGAAGTTTTGGCCTAAATTTTGTTAAGATTTTTTAAATTACATGTATATATATGTCTGTCTGTGTGGTGGTGTGTGCACATGTGTGTGGTAGTATGTGCACATGTGTGTGTCTGTGTGGTGGTATGTGCACATGTGTGCGTTGGTGTGGTGGTATGTGCCCATGTGTGCGTCTATGTGGTGGTATGTGCACATGTGTGCGTTGGTGTGGTGGTATGTGCCCATGTGTGCGTCTATGTGGTGGTATGTGCACATGTGTGCGTTGGTGTGGTGGTATGTGCCCATGTGTGCGTCTATGTGGTGGTATGTGCACATGTGTGCGTTGGTGTGGTGGTATGTGCCCATGTGTGCGTCTATGTGGTGGTATGTGCACATGTGTGCGTTGGTGTGGTGGTATGTGCCCATGTGTGCGTCTATGTGGTGGTATGTGCACATGTGTGCGTTGGTGTGGTGGTATGTGCACATGTGTGCGTCTGTGTGGTGGTATGTGCACATGTGTGCGTCTGTGTGGTGGTATGTGCACATGTGTGCGTCTGTGTGGTGGTATGTGCATGTGTGTGTGTCTGTGTGGTGGTCTGTGTGGTGGTATGTGCACATGTGTGTGTCTGTGTGGTTGTATGTGCACATGTGTGTGTCTGTGTGGTGGTATGTGCACATGTGTGTGTCTGTGTGGTGGTATGTGCACATGTGTGTGTCTGTGTGGTGGCATGTGTACTTGAGTGTACTGTTAGAGGAGGCTGGAGGAGGGTGTGTTATATCCCCTGGAGCTGAATTTGCAGGTGGTTGTGAGCTGCCTGGCATGTATGTGGAAACTAAACTCATTGTCCTCTGAAGAACAATGTGTGTTTTTAACTGTGGAGCTGTCTCTCTAGCACTGGCCTAAACTTTTAAAAACTTGAACCCCAAACTCCGCCATGGACCAGAAGGTGACTGGAAAGCTGAGGCGTCTGTCTCGGATGACAGGGAGGACAGGAAAAGGGGGTGACAGAAATGTGAAGCGGCACCCAGCGTGTACCCCACAGTTGCCAACCTGGGCAACTGCAGCAGAAAACCAGCAGTCTCCGCCCACCTCCCTTTGCAGGTAAAAATAAATGCAAACAGAAATCCTGAGGTTATAAACAGATGTTTCCTGTCCCAACCACCCCGTCCCAAATACCCGACTCAGAGGCTGAATATGAATTACAAATGCTTGGCCAATAGCTCAGGCTTATTACTAGCTGACTCTTATATTTAAATTAACCCATTTCTATTAATCTATGCATTGCCACATGACTTATGGCTTACCTCTCCTCTAACATGTCTTGTTTCCTGGGCATCTGGCTGGCATCTCTTCCTGACTCCACCCTCCTTCTACCCATAATTCTCAGTTTGGCTTTCTCACCTAACTTCCTGACTAGCTACCAGTCTGTCAGCTTTTTATAAACCAATGAAAGTAATACATATTCATAGTGTAGAAAAGGGTTGTCCGTGTTCGACATGAGGTGGTTATTTTGGTTAAAGCTCTTTGTTCAGTTCTCTCAGCTGAACTCCAACTGTAGCTCCCAGGCATACTAGCTCCCTGGAGATTACCACTCTACCAAGTTCTGAGAGCTTCCAGGAAATGTGCAGCTGTTC